CTAGGTTTCTTTCCCGAAGACACATGTAACCAGACACAGTGGCATATGCCTGTAGTCCCATCTACATGGGAGAATGAGGCAAGAGAATCCCTTGAGCCTAGGAGTTCAAGGCTGCAGTGAGCTATGATCGTGCTTCTGAACTCCAGCCTGGGTGACAGAGAGAAACTCCGTTTCAAAAACAAAACACATGTGATGAAGACCCCTTACCCAGCTCCCCCTGTTCCTCCAGACCAGCCAACATCCATGTAAGGCCCCTGCCTAGAACTTCATGGCAAGCTGGACTGGACTGGCATATTCTGAGTTCTCCAGAATCTACCATCTTACCTCCTTGCCCACACTGTTTCTTCTGTGTGAATGCCCTTTTCCTCTCCTGTGAACTACGGGCATCTGCCCTCAGCTCTTGCCACCTCCCTCCATGAGAACAGGGATTAAGACTGGCTATGCCTCACCAGGCATGGTGGCTCACACCTGTAATCCCAGCACTTTGGGAGGTCAAGGCAGGCAGATCACCTGAGGTTGGGAGTTCGAGACCAGCCTGACCAACATGGAGAAACCCTGTCACTACTAAAAACACAAAATTAGCTGGGCGTGGTGATGGGCGTCTGTCGTCCCAGCTACTCGGGAGGCTGAGGCAAGAGAACGGCATGAACCCGGGAGGCAGAGTTTACAGTGAGCTGAGATTGTGCCACTGCACTCCAGCCTGGGCGACACAGCAAGACTCCGTCTAAAAAAAAAAAAAAAAAAAAAAAGACTGGCTATCCCAGAGTCTGGGGACAGGACAGTGCACGCTGCAAAGCCAGCCATTTGAGGAGGGCCTAGTCTGAACTGAATAGATCAATGGGCTGGAGCTGACTTTGGACAGAGTTGAACAACCCCAGAGAATGTAGTGGGTGCTGGGCATACAGTGGTCAGGCCTGTGGAGGCAGACCTGGGCTGAGAAGAGGCTGGGCTGCAGTGGCCAGGGCAAGGCAGAGGGGCAGGGACAGGAGTGGGTGATGGAGTTGGGCCCAGTTCTTTGCTTGCATATGAATGAACCACTGTACAGCTGCGGGCACCACTGCATCAGCTTGCGCCTCCACACAGCTGCCTTTGGCTCATGTTGGCTGTGCTGTATCAGTCCTTCAATGTTTCCCGGGGATCAGATAATTAAGTTGAGGTCTCTGCATCTGGAAATCCACCTCAGCCTGCAGGGAAAAGGCCCCCAGTCTTGGTCTTTGCCTTCAGAACCCTCAAGGAGAATCCTGCTGATTCTCAGATTGGGCTCCAGGGGGCGACAGTGTCAATCACAATGTTAGATACTGAAACTGGCTCGGTTCTTTTTTTTTTTTTCCTTCCCTTCCCTTCCCTTCCCTTCTTCCCTCCCCTTCTCCCTCTCTTTCCCCCTCCCTTCCCTTCCCCTCCCCTCCCCTCCCCTTCCCTTCCTCTCTTTCTTTTTCTCTTTCTTTCTTTTGTTTTTTTTGACGGAGTCACACTCTGCCATCCAGGCTGGAGTGCAGTAGTGCAACCTCAGCTCACTGCAACCTCCGCCTCCTGGGTTCAAGCGATTCTCCTGCCTCAGCCTCCTGAGTAGCTGGTATTACAGGTGTGCGCCACCACACCCAGCTAATTTTTGTATTTTTAGTAGAGATAGGGTGTCACCTTGTTGGCCAGGCTGGTCTCGAACACCTGACCTCAAGTAATCCGCCCACAAAATACTGGGATTACAGGTGTGAGCCACTGCAGCGGCCTTTTTTTTTTCTTTTTTTGAGTCAGGGTCTCACTTTGTTGCCCAGGCTGGATGTAGTGGCAGAATCATGGCTCACTGCAGCCTTGACTGCCCGGGCCTAAGCCATCCTCCCACCTCAGCCTCCCAAGTGGCTGGGACTACAGACTTGCACCACCACACCAAGCTAAAGTGTTGTTTTGTTTTTTTGTAGAGACAGTTTTGCCTTGTTGCCCAGACAGCGATCCTCCTGCTTCAGCTCCCCAAAGTGCTGGGATTACAGGCGTGAGCCGCCACACCCAGTCACTTTCTTACCTAAAATACCTGCACACCCTGCTTGGAGACTCTAGGGTGAGGGGAGTGGGGAATAGGAGAATCTGACAGTAGAGGATAGATGTAAGGAGGAGAGGGACAAGCTTGCTGTGTGGTGGGATGCTCCAGGGCTGGGGGTGCCTAGGGATCTACCTCTCTCCCAGGCTGTGGAATTATCCTCCCCACACTCACTGCTTCTCTAACCTTGGCTATCTCCTCCTGCCTTTGGGGTGTCTAATGGGCCTGAGGGACCTCCCAGCTGCTCTAGGTCATCTCACTGCAGCCATGTGCCCCATTTGGTACTGTCAAAGCTGCTGGAATATTATCGCCTTTCCAGAACCATCCTTGGGGCAAGATCAGGACCTCAGGCTGCCAGGGGCTCAGAGCCCTGCTGGGTCTTCCTGGGGCCCCTAGTCCACATGCATCTCCCCTAAGCCTTACGGCCCTTCGAGAGGCAGCACTTCTAGCCTGCCATTGGTTTTAGCTTTTGCCCTATGAAGATCTTGTGATTTCTGCCCCAGCATGGGGCAGCAGGAACCTCAAGCACAGTGCCTGGGGCCAAGAGAGTCACAATGGACTTGCCCCAGGTCAGGCCTGCACTTGCCTTGTGTCAGGGTATCTCCCCATGTTGCTGGCCTCCTCAACCCCCACACTGACCTGTTTCCCCAGCTTTATCTCTGGCACCCCAAACTCAGCAGCCCCGACCCCACTTCCCGAGCACCCCCTGTGACTGGTTCTGCACCTGTCATGGTGTCCTGGCAGCAGTCTGGGAGAGTATTTCAGTTACCCCCAGTATCCTGGGGAGGCTGGAGCAGAGGGGTCCACTCACTGATTGCCACGGTCACAGAATAAGACTTGAATTGTGCACTGGAGGCCCTGCGGCCTTGCATGAGTCTGGTAGGCCTCTCCCCTCCTGCTTCCAACCCTCCACCTGGGAGGCCAGCCTGCCCAGGGCTGCTCTGCCACTTAGCAGCTGTGTGGCCCTGGAGAGTCCCTAACCTCACTGAACCTCAGTTTCTCCGCTTGTGAAATGGAGATAATACAAAGAGAACCTTCCTTCTCAGGCTGTTGTGATGGGTAAGGAAATAAATGCATGCAAAATCACAGCCGTAGTTATTATGAGGCACACTGTCTTCCTGGCTGCAGGAGATTCTGAGGGTGGGTGAGGGGTGGGGCAGCCAGATCACCATGTGCATGAAATGGGGGCAGGTTGGTTGGAGATGGAGGGCACCAGGCCCAAGCACTGCCATCTGCCCCGTGATGGGACTCTCCTGTGGCAGTGGCAACGGTCCCACTGTGGAAGCGACACATTAGCTGAGAGGACTTGCCTGAACTGAGCCACATGTGCCCTTCGGGCCTGGGCACCCCACCACCTGCTCCCAGTGTGACCCATGCAGGGCCTGTTCCTGACCCTGAGCAAGACCGAGACTTCCTGGGCTGCGTTTCCTATCTGTAAAATTGTAGGAGGGTGGTGGGGTTGGGGGGCTCGAACTTGCCCCCTAGTGGGGTGGGGCACAAATAGTCCCAGAGGATGGCCTGGGAAGACCGGCTGGGCCTGGCACAGGGGACTATTACTGCTGTCATTATTGTCCTCCTTACAGGAGAGGAGAGTAAGGCCCAGACAGGGGAGGAACCCACACAGCCTCTGTGCTCTAGCCTGCTGGAAGGACAAAGTCTACCTACAAATGCAGAGATCCACACATTAAAGACAATGAAACACCCAAGTGTTAGGAACCAGAATAATCAGCCCTAATAGAGGGGAGGCTGGTCAGGGAGGGCTTCCTGGAGGAGGAGGCACAACACCAGGGTGCACTGTGATTTCTGGAGACCTAAGGAGTTCTGGTAAATGACAGGTGAGAAAAAGAAAAATGTAATAAAATATAATTGAAAATAGACCCTGGTACGTGTGGAGAGAGGGCCGGGAGGAACCTAGGACACAGGTGAACCTGAGCTTCCCCACCCAGTGAAGGGAGCTGTGGGCAGTAAGGTTTGATTGGGGTTTTCTTTCTTGTGGAGGTTTCTCTGAGTGATTCAAGTTCCCCCACCCCGCCCACAGTGGTTCTGAGACTTTGGAAAGAAAGAAAAGTAAAAAAGAAGCAGACCCTGCCCGCGCCCCAGCTGGGCATCCCTGGGAGGTCGCGAGGATCCCCGGAGACCCAGACTCGGGTGCGGGGCGCCCCCTGCCAGAGCGGCCCCCGGCTGCCTCCCCACGCTCCGCGACTCCGGTCCGGACGCCGAGGGCCTCGGCCTGCCCCATGTCCCCCCGCCGCCCACCACCTGCTCCGGCCCGGCGGGGCGGTGCTGGGCGCCGCGGGCTCCCCGGCCGCAGTGCAGCCGCAGCGCCAGCCCCGCCCCGCCCGCGCCTCCCCGCCCCCCCGCGCCCGCGGCCCCAAGCGGTTCCCGAGTCCAGGCCCGCGCCGAGCCCAGGTGAGCGCCCGCCCCGGGGACCCCGGTCCCTGGAACCCCGGTCCCCGCCCGCCGCCCTGCCTCTTCGCCCCGGCGCCGGGGGCCAGCGCTTGTGCTCGCAGGTCTCGGACCCGGGCCCGGCACGTTAGGGGTTGGGGGTCGGCAAGCGTGGCCACAGGCACTGCCCGGGGGCCGGAGCACACCTCGTCCTTCTCTCGTCCCACAACCGCCCCTTCCCTGCTCGCCGCGGCTTCCCACTGTGTGCCAGTCCCCCTTCCCGGGCTGCAAGGTCTGGCGGGGCACCGGGACGGAGCCGGCGAGGCTGCTGGCACCGGCCACCGGCTTCCCAGAGCGAGGGAACTGCACGTGCAGAGGCGAGGAGAGTGGACAGAGGCTTGCGCCTGAGCTCCGTGGGGGAGGGGAGAGCGCGGAGCCCCCACACTCCAAGGCAGGACTGGAATCAGATGCCACCCCTAGGACGCCTGGAAGCCACTGGGAGCCCGATCTGGGCAGGAGCCCTTGGGATGAGGCAGTGGGGGCGGGTGGGCAAGAGGTGGAGGAGTGGGGAGAGGACCCTGCCCAGCCTGCACAGGGGGCCGGTGCCAGGAACCCTGGGAGGGTCAGGTGGAGCAGTGGCCGCTCAGTGAGATGGGGGTAATCCAGTCCCGCTTCACAGGTCCTGGGGTCCCTGGGACAGACAGACTCCTGCAGAGTCCAGTTAGCACTGGACTCTGCTAGAACTTTTCTGCAGTGGGCAGCTCATGGGCAAGGAACAGCACTCTGGCATTCTGCACAAACCTGGGGGGCCCTACTGCCCTGCCCCTAGCAAGGACCTTTGCCTTTGAGTGGGGTGACTGGCCTCCAAGCCGATCTAGCACACAGTAGGCCGAAGGCACAGGGGCCCCACCCAGTCTTCTTCCTGGCCCAGGCCCTGGGGGATTCAGGGCCCTGGGTACTCCGGAAGGGACAGCACAGCCTGGGCAGGTCCCCAGTGGCAAGACCAGGTCTGACCTTTTCTGGGATCTGTGGCCTAGCAGATGAGGCCTGAGGTCAGCCAGGAAGGAAATGGGCAGGGCTGAGCCAGGGCTGAAGCCAGGACCTGGGGAGGGGCTCCCTAGTGCCCAGGGAGGGGGCAGGTGGGGCAGGTGGCTGTTGAGTTTTACAGACCTTCCTTGGTGACAAGTGGGGGAAAGAGCCAAGGCACACCCCAGTGGCTGTGGGAGTCACCAGCTCCTCCCCTGTAATGGGCACCTTGAGGGCCGACAGGCGCAGGGGCCAGGCACCAATGGTCTCTCTCCAACCTGGGCTTTTGTTTGCACCCCTCGCTCTCAGGCACCCACCCACAGCCCTTCTGGGATCTGGGCCAGACCAGGTGGGCCTTAGCCCCACCTCAAGTGAGACTTCAGGAAGAAGTTCCAGAGGAAACCGGAGGATGACAGTGGGATGGACTGTGGGGAGGTCATTTGTAAACAAGGCAGCTATGCCTGTGCCCTGGGCCTTCCAAAGTCCTACCTGTAGGCTGCATCTTCCGGAAGGCCCACCCTGTAGCCTGGAAGGCACCTGGGCTACAGTGATCTCTCTGCTGTGCAGGTGTCCCTCCCCCAGGGCACCTTGCAGGGCCTCAGGGTGATATGGGGGCTTTCTGGGCTCCTGCCCATCTTAAAACTGATGAAGGTGGGAGGGTGGGGTAGGAGGCCACAGGGATACCCCTGCTGCTTGACCTTGATGAGACCTTGGCCCCTTGCTTTCCCCATCTGCTGTTGGGCAAGACCCCAGCACCACAGGCCTAGTGGGCATTTTCGAAGGGCTGGAGTCGGGGGTAGGGGGAGCTTATGGCTGCTGGGCACAGGCGTGGCAGGGCTGTGTGCCCGGCTTCTCTTTCCCCTAACCCCATCAGGGCCGGGCTGGCCGCCCACTTCTGTTCACCACAGAGCTGGGTTTCCCTGGGGACCAGTGGACTGGCCCAGCCCCACACCACCCCCCAGCCCCTCCTGGCCACAGCTTGAGCTGGGAGGAGGGTGGAGGCTGGGCCGCCTCCTGGACCCCTGCCCTCCCTGCCCGGCCTTCCAAGGCCCGGCAGCCTCAGTCCACTGCTGGGCCTGGAACACGGAGCAGTGGCTGCCCTGAGAGGAGGTGGGTGTCCAGAGTACTAGCCAGGGTGGGGCTGGGCTAGGGGGAGCCTGATGACACCCGCATTGTAGGAGGGAGAAGACCAAGGATGAGGAGGGCTTTGGCTTGCCCAAGGTGACCCACTCTTTGCGCTTAGGCACGGTGGTCTCCCGGTACAATGGAGGGTCCAAGAACTCTCAGGCTGTGGGATTTGGAGAGGGGAAGGGCGGCATGAGGAGGCAGAAATCAGGGAGGATTTCTTGGGCAAGGCAGCTGCGGGGCTGGACCAAGGGTGGCTGAGGTTGGGGTGAGGAACTCCACTGGAGGAGTGAGAGAGCTGAGCTTGGAGGGCTTCAAAGGGGAGGTGTCCTCCAGGGCCCCATGCTCTGGGATCAGGCTCACCTACACGCCATGGTTCCCAACTCAAATGTAAGACTCTCTGAAGCTCCCACCGTCTCTCTCTCTCTCTCTCTGTGTCTCTACCTCTGCCCACACGCCCCGGTCATGACGGCCCCAGTCTCCCTGCAGGTCCTAGAGCAGCACCAGCAGGATGGCATCTCCAGCATCTCTAAGGCCTTCAGGGGGTCCAGCCCCATGGGGGGCGCCCTAGGCCTCCGACGGCTCCCCATCTGTGCTCCTGCCTGCCGGCCATCTTCAGGCCACTCACCATGGGTGGCTGTTTCTCCAAGCCCAAACCAGGTACCTCCTGTCTTCTTGCCTCCATCCTTCCTCCTCCCTCCCCACCTCTTCCTTCCCCCTCTTCCCCCCCGCCCTCCCCCTCTGCACTCGGCAAGCCTCCGAAGTAGGTCAGGCTAGGCAGGAGCCTGCTCGGAATGTTAATACGCTGTGGCCAGGAGGGGGTAGGGGGCCTGGAGCAGTTCCCTAGCTGGCCCCTCCTCCAGTGGGTGCCCCTTTTTCTTTGGGGCTTTGAGTGTTGGTGGTGGGAATAACAGCAGGACCCTTCTTGGAAAAGGAAAAGCAGGTTCCTCCTGTTGCAGGGTTGGGGAAGGGGCTATGCCCCCAGGGCCAGGGAAGTGGGGGGACTGGAGACAACCTCAGCCACTCTATGACCTAGGGCATGCAAGTTACCCCTCTGAGCCTCTGTTTTTCTCTCTGCAAAAGAGAGGGCCTGGCCACCCTGACCTCTTAGAGTTGCTGTGAGGGTGTAGTGAGCAGATCCTGGCTCTCTTCGCCTCCTCTGATCCCCTGTGTGGTCTCGGGCTGCCTTCTTGGCCTTTCTGGGCACACTTCCCCATTTATACAGGAAATCACCACCCAACCTAGCCTGAGCTACTCTGGCCAGAAGTGATAGTGTCCTGGGGTGCTGGGAGAGGCCTGGGTCTTTTCTCCACTAAAGACTCATGTCTGCAGAGCTCTCCCTCTGGCCCCCCACTTTCCCTCTTCTCTCCTCACAACACCCAGGGAGGCAGGAGTGTGCAGCTCTGTCACAGATGGAGAAAATTAGGCTTAGAGAGACCTCAAGAGCCCAGCCAGTGCTCCACTCACCCGGCCAGGCCACCCTGCCCCAATCAGCTCACCCCAGCTCCCCTTACCTGATACCCATCGGCTCCGTTACCTTGGAACTTGTGAGCCTTTTCTCCCTTTCCTGGGTCTAAGGGGGAACTTAGGGGAGAGAGGAGAACTGTAGTGACTCACCAGACAGAGGGACCTACCTGCCTCTGCTCCAGGGAGCCACTCTTCCTCCCCCAACTCCTGTGCTGTGGACACCCAGGCCTGGGCTGGATCCCTCCCTGCCTCAAAATGTGCCTTGGGCAGATGATGTCCATTGTCTCCCCCTAGAAGTGGGTGGGATGATGCCAGCTGGCCTCATACCAGGCGTCTGTGGCACTGCTGGGCTGGCAGGAGGCCCTGGCAGAAGATGCCACCTGCAGGTTCTTTTAAAGGACCCCAAAGGGCTGGCCTGCCTGGGACCCGTGGCCCAGTGTGGGGGGTGGCCACTCTCACCAAAGGCAGTGCTAAGAATTTAGGCAAATCCAGCCCTGCCCTTTCCCGGCTGTGAGGCCTTCAGCATCTGAGCCTCTGCATCCTCATTGTAAAGTGGGGCTGTTGTGCCTAGCATGGGGGCCTGACACACAAGAAACACTTGTGGAATATTATTTGTTATCCCTTCTCTGAGCTGGGCTCTGTGCTGCCAGGCCTCCCCTGTGGGCCCGTAGCCAGAGGCTCAGGCCCCAGGTGCCCATGCTGGGCAGGTCAGGCATGAGGCTCAGGGAATTTCCAGATATGGGAGTTACAGCGTTTGGGGCATGAGGGTTCTACTGGGGTCTTAAGGAGCCACAAAGAGACTACAGCAAACAGAAGACCTCTGTGCAAATCACTCACTATCTTGCCCCACTCAATTCTGTGGCTCCATGTGCATCAGCACCTGCTTCCTGGGTTCCCTCTGTGCTCCTGCGTGTCCCATCTGAGTTCTTGATAAGAAGATATCAGGCCAGTCCCTCACCTAGCTCAGAGCTAGGAGGAAGTGCAGCTCTCTTAGCATCTGTTCACCCGCCTTTTATTAGGCCACAACTGCTACCTAAAGGCTTTCCATCCTCACCATGGCTGCTAGGAGGCTCAGAGCTAACTGGTAAAACACTGCTGCCCAACTCCATCTATTGAGCCTCTACTCTGGGTTACATACATTATTTCCTTCAGCATCCACTATCACCAACGAGGTAGGCATTTGCTGTTCTCTCTGTTTTATTTTCATTTTTTGAGATGAGCTCTCATTCTGTTGCCCAGGTTGGAGTAAAGTCGCATAATCATAGCTTGCAGCAGCCTAGAACTCCTGGGCTCAAGTGATCTTCCCACCTTAGCCTCCTGAGTAGCAGGGGCTACAGGCCTGCACCACTACGACTGGCAATTTTATTTATTTTTATTTATTTATTTATTATTATTATTATTATTTGAGAAAGATTCTCACTCCCTTGCCCAAGCTGGAGTGCAATGGCATGATCTCGGCTCACTGCAACATCCACCTCCCAGGTTCAAGCGATTCTCTTGCCTCAGGCTCTCAAGTAGCTGGGATTATAAGTGCATGCCACCATGCCTGGCTAATTTTTATATTTTTAGTAAAGGCTGGGTTTTGCCATGTTGGCCAGGCTGGTCTCGAACTCCTGACCTCAAGTGATCCGCCCGCCTCGACCTCTCAAAGTGCTGGGATTACAGGCGTGAGCCATCATTCCTGGCCAACAGGCAAATTTTTAAATTTTTTGTACAGACCGTGTCTCACCCTGTTGCCCAGGCTGGTCTTGAACCCCTGGACTCAAGCGATCCTCCTGCCTTGGCCTCCCAAAGTGTTGGGATTACAGGCATGAGCCACCGCACCTGGCCTTCTCTCCATTTTGTAATAAAGGCATCTTAAGGCCCAAAGGGGCTAAGGCGGGTCTTATGGGCAGCCAGAAGTCACCGATCTGGGGCTGATCTGGTTTTGTGGGTGAGCAGAGACGCCCCTCCCCTCCACCTTTCCAAAGGGCCCCTGACTTAATGGCTTTCGTTAGACCGCATCAGTGAGCGGGCTTGGAGCCTTCTGGGAGGAGGTGGAGGATGAGAGCAGCCTGGCTTGGCGTTATCTGGCCCCCCTGCCAGGCTATTTGTGAGCTCCCACAGCTTCCAGAGCTGGTGTCAGCTAAGTCCAAAGTATTTCTCTTTTTAAGTCTTCCAAAAACATTATAACACCGTTACATAAAGTATAGAAAATGGAATGAAAGCCCCACCCATAACCCCCCACCTGATAGGACGGCCTCAGTGTGGCTCTGTGCTCTGCACCCTCCCTGCTGGGCTGGGGTCAAGGAACTGACCTTTGCCCCTGTCCCCTGCTATGCCTGGGCCTGAGCTGTAGGGCTGAGACTTGGGCCTGGCTAGGGTGGAGGATTTAGCAGAGCATGAGATGACGGATATGCAGGGGCTGGGCAGCCAGGAGAGGCAACTCCTGAACCTTGTCTGGGTAGATAGGAAGGATGGCAGAGGGCAGCCCCAGCCCAGCGGACAGCTCAGACGAAGGCCTGGAGGTGCGTCTCGGCAGCCTCTCTGGGTTCTTGGTTTCTGGAGTGTCAGGTCTGAGGTGGAGGGGATGAGAGGTAAAACCCAGAGGCGCTGGTGCCTTGGGAAGTGAGAGAGGTAGGTACCTCTGCTCCAGCATTGGGCCCATGCTGTGCCAGGGGCTGAGTGTCCATCGCTCAGCTTCCTCCCGGCTGCAGCAGCCTGGGAGGCTGGATTATTGCTGCTAAAAATTCTGTTTATTGTTCCCTTCTAATTAGAAAAATATCCCCGGCACATCACAGGGAATTTGGAAAATGTGGAAGAGTATAAAGAAGAAAATGGCAATCTCACTCCGCTAGAGCCTGGCCCCCGTTGACACGCTGGGGGAAGTGGCCTTCTGGTACGGAGGCTGTCGGTTGGGGCTGTGCTGTCCACATGCCTTCCCATGCTCGGGGTTCACCCCAGTGGCACACAAGGCACTGAAAACCCAGCACCTGGTCAAGTGACAGGATTCTCAAATTGGTGAGTAAAAGCTAATTTTTAAGAAGTTGTAAATTGGGCTCGGGTGTGGTGGCCCCAAGCTGTAATCCCGAGCATTTTGGGAGGCTGAGGCCGGTTGGAATCACCTGAAGGCCCAGGAAGTTCAAGACCAAGCTGAACCTAATCATGGGAACCCCGTCTCTCTAAAAATACAAAATTAGTCGGCGTGGGTGGCACATGCCTGTAATCCAGCCGCTCGATTGAACCCCGGGAAGGCAGGTTGCGGTGAGCGAGATCGCGCCATGCACTCCAGCTTGGGCCACAAAGAGGGAAAACCTCCATCTCAAAAAAAAAAAAAAAAAAGACTGAAATATGCTGTGGAAATTAATGCTGTGTACATTTATTTTTTTATTTTATTTTTATTTTTGGAGATGGAGGTCTCGCCTGTCCGCCCAGGCTCGGAGTCAGTGGCACATCCTCAGCCCTCACTGCCAAGGCTCGTCTCCGGGTTTACGCCCATTCTTCCTGCCCCTCCAGCCTCCAAATTTTTTTTAATTTTTGAAAACAAATTCAAATATACCGAGAAAGTTGTAAGACTCACAATTGAACCCTTGACTTCCTGTCCACCAAATTCACTTGGCTGGGACCTGAGCTGCTACCACTTTTGATTCCCTGTGTGGGCACTTGAGTTTGTACCCTAAATGGTGTCCCTGAGGCCTGTCAGGGACCATCATCATTGTCTGTCCGGAAGATGCAGGACCTTGGAAGGCCTCAAGGGTTCTTTTGTGCCACCAGAGGTTTCTGCAAGCCAAGGAGAGTTGCAGGGTTGAAGGAACTTCAGTCTATGTGCCCCCTCACTAAAATACTGTCATTGAAAAAGGAGGTGGGCAACAGTGGGCTAGCCTGTTAATCCAGCACTTTTGGGAGGCCTTGAGGTGGGCAGGATCACTTGAGGGTCAGGATGGGAGACGGAGACCAGCCTGGCCAACATGGCAAAACCCTGTCTCTACCAAAAAATACAAAAATTAGCCTGGCGTGGTGGTGTGCACATATAATCCCAGCTACTGGGGAGGCCAAAATGGGAGTATTGCTTGAACCCAGGAGGCAGAGGCTGCAGTGAACTGAGTTTACATGACTGCACTACAGCCTGGGCGACAGAGTGAGACCCTGTCTCAAAAAAAAAAAAAAAAAAAGGAAGGAAAAAAAAGAAAAAAGAGACATGCAGAAATGAATTCAAGCAGACCCGGGTGTACCCCTACCCATACATGCCCCTCCTCTGCTTCGTGCCAGGTTTAAGGCTCTTTGCTGGTGGTGCAGAGGGCATTCTGAGGAGGTTACCAGGCAGGGCGGAGCCTCCCGGCACCCCAAGGAGCTGGCCTCTGCACCCAGCTTGATGGATGGGGGAGGAAGTGGGCTGAGGTAGAGGGCTGAAGGCGCTGACTTGCCCACAGTGGAGCTCAAGATCGAGGTGGTGCTGCCTGAGAAGGAACGAGGCAAGGAGGAGCTGTCGGCCAGTGGGAAGGGCAGCCCCCGGGCCTACCAGGGCAACGGCACGGCCCGCCACTTCCACACGGAGGAGCGCCTGCCCACCCCTCACCCCTACCCCAGCCCTCAGGATTGTGTGGAGGCTGCTGTCTGCCACGTCAAGGATCTCGAGAATGGCCAGTGGGTTCTGGGCCTGCCTGGGAGGGGGGATCAGGGGTCCCAAGGTGGGAGGGTGAGGTACAGGCCGCAGCCGGGGGTCGGGGTTGGCCTGAAGGGGCTATGACCAGCTGCTGCCCTGGTCACTGCCTTTGTGGCTTCTACCGGTCTGGGCCTGCTCCCCAGAAGGCTGGACACTGGGAGGAGCTGCCAGGAGGCTGTGCCTGGTGTCTGGCCTGACCTCTGAGTGCTGCGGTTCCCCAGGATGCGGGAAGTGGAGCTGGGCTGGGGGAAGGTGTTGCTGGTGAAGGACAATGGGGAGTTCCACGCCCTGGGCCATAAGTGTCCGCACTACGGCGCACCCCTGGTGAAAGGTGAGCTGTCAGGTGGGAGGTGTGAGGGGGACCTTCCAGGCCCCATGCCAGCTTGGCTCCTCCCCAGACCTCAGGATCTTCATCTATTAGTGAAGTCTCCCGGGCTTTGGGGAGGGGCCCGCAGTTGCCAGGGCACTGAGATCCTTGGGAAGCAAGCCCTGCTGGTGGCCCCAGCCTAGCACCTCCCCTTCCCAGGCGTTCTGTCCCGTGGTCGGGTGCGCTGCCCCTGGCATGGTGCCTGCTTCAACATCAGCACTGGGGACCTGGAGGACTTCCCCGGCTTGGATAGTCTGCACAAGTTCCAGGTGGGGCCAGGAGTGTGGTGGGGTGAGAACCTGGGGGTGTGGGGTTTGGGGCTGGTCCTGAGGAATGCAGCCCTTGCAGGTGAAGATTGAGAAGGAGAAGGTGTACGTCCGGGCCAGCAAGCAGGTGAGGGGGTAGCTCGGGGCTCAGGCAGGAGAGAGGAGCCGGGAGGGCATCTTGGCCCAGAGAATGGCATGTGCAAAGGCCCTGTGGTGAGAGGAGCTTGGCACATGTCACTTGAGCAGAGTGAGGGGTTGCGGTGGGGATGAAGCTGGGCTGGAGTGGCAGGACCTGCCTGCCAAGATGATGGCAATGACCCTCCACCCTCCTGGCACCCACAGGCCCTACAGCTGCAGCGAAGGACCAAGGTGATGGCCAAGTGTATCTCCCCAAGTGCTGGGTACAGCAGTAGCACCAATGTGCTCATTGTGGGCGCAGGTTGGTAGTGGGGTCATAAGGGGCAGGGTGGGAGATGGGATTGGTGAGAAGTGGTCCCCGGCCCACGGGCCCCTCCCCTCAGGTGCAGCTGGCCTGGTGTGTGCAGAGACACTGCGGCAGGAGGGCTTTTCCGACCGGATCGTTCTGTGCACGCTAGACCGGCACCTTCCCTATGACCGTCCCAAGCTCAGCAAGGTAGCGGGGGTGGGGCAAGTGGGACCCTATCCCTCAGAGTCCTAGTTAAGCCCACTTCAAGCCTTGCTTGTCACCCCATGGAGGTCTGGCCGGCTGCCCTCTCTGCTTATGCCAGGCCTGTCCGTGGTACCCCCAAAAGGTCTAGATTCCTTGTTGTTTTGAGACAGCGTCTCATTCTGTCACCCAGGCTGGAGTGCAGTGGTGCGTTCTCGGCTCACTGCAACTTCCATCTCCTGGGTTCAAGTGATTCTCGTGCTTCAGCCTTCTGAGTAGCTGGGATTAAAGGTGTGTACCACCACCACGCCTGGCTAATTTTTTGTATTTTTAGTAGAGATGGGGTTTCACCATGTTGCCCAGACCAGTCTTGAACTCCTGAGCTCAGCCCATCCACCCACCTCAGCTTCCCAAGGTGCTAGGATTACAGGTGTGAGCCACCGCACCTGGTTTTTCTTTTTTTGAGACAGGGTCTTGCTTTGTCACTCACGCTGGAGCACAGTGCCTGTCTCATGGCTCACTGCAGCGTTGACCTCTACCTCCCAGGCTCAAACAATCCTCCCACCTCAGCCTCCCGGTAGCTAAGACTACAGGCGTGCACCACCACGCCTGGCTAATAATTTTTTGTAGAAACGTGGTTTTGTCATGTTGCCCAGGCTGGTCTTGAACTCCTGGGTTCAAGCGATCCTCCGGTCTCAGCCTCCCAAAGTGTTGGGATTACAGGCATGAGTCACTGCGCCCGGCCAGATCTGGGTTTGCTGAGTTCTGTCCTGCAGCCCCTATGTCACTGGGGCTGGCCCTACCTTCCCTGAGCCCCAGTGTCTTCTGCTGTAAACTGGCTCCTCTCAAGCTGGCTCACCCCTGCAGTCCCTGGACACACAGCCTGAGCAGCTGGCCCTGAGGCCCAAGGAGTTTTTCCGAGCCTATGGCATCGAGGTGCTCACCGAGGCTCAGGTACAGGGTCAAGGGTGGGAAACAGGCCCTGAGGAGGGAGGGTGGGAACATGAGGTTGTGTGGGCCCTGGGGGTGGGGTCTTGGTGCTCTACCTTCCTGGCCCCACTGCCCAGGCACCTGGGAGGTGCTCCAGGCTTGGGAGACAGCAAGGAGCTTTTTCCCGACAGGTCATGGGCACACACAGAGCCCCAGGGTGTGCGGAGATGAACAATCAGGGCTGGATAGCAGAGACTGGTGGGACTTGGGAGGGTAAGGAGAGGTTTGAGGGGAAGGTGATGTCTGAAGCTTAAAGAACAAAGTCCAAGTGGCAGGATCTGTTCTAATGGGAGCTTCTCAGAGGCTGTGGCTGGGCTGTGGGTGTACTGCAGGACACAGGAGTGGGCGGCGAGGCCCAGCCCCATGCTCAAGCTCATGCTCTGCCTGGCCGGGGTTGCAGGTGGTCACAGTGGATGTGAGAAACAAGAAGGTCGTGTTCAAGGATGGCTTCAAGCTGGAGTACAGCAAGCTGCTGCTGGCGCCAGGGAGCAGGTGGGACGGTCTCCTTTTTACCCATGGGACACCGGGCAGGACACTGGCCTGGACGGGGCTGGGGCTGCCAGGAGGCCCTCACTGACACTGCCATGTCTCAGCCCCAGGACTCTGAGCTGCAAAGGCAAAGAAATGGAGAACGTGTTCACCATCCGGACGCCAGAGGATGCCAATCGCGTGGTGAGGTTGGCCCGAGGCCGCAATGTGGTCATCGTGGGAGCCGGCTTCCTGGGTGAGAGGTAGTGGGCGGTGGGGATGGTGATCAGGTCATCATGGCCAGTCCCAGGGAAGTTCTGGTCGAGGAAGGTGCAGGTGCCAGCCTGCCACCCCTGCCCACGACCAGGGATGGAGGTGGCCGCTTACCTGACGGAGAAGGCCCACTCCGTGTCTGTGGTGGAGCTGGAGGAGACGCCCTTCAGGAGGTTCTTGGGGGAGCGCGTGGGTCGTGCCCTCATGAAGGTGAGCCCACTCCAGCACGCACCCAGCGCCTTGGAGCCGTGGGGCCCAGCCTGGCCCCTGGCTGGACTCTCATCCACTGCCCACCTGCCCACTTGTCCTGACAGATGTTTGAGAACAACCGGGTGAAGTTCTACATGCAGACTGAGGTGTCAGAGCTGCGGGGCCAGGAGGGAAAGGTGGGCCCTTCTCCCTTCTCCTTTTTGTCCTCTGTCCCCTGAGCCCAGGAGTTGGGCCCACCTGTTCACCCACCCACTCCCCACAGCTGAAGGAGGTTGTGCTGAAGAGCAGCAAGGTCGTGCGGGCTGACGTCTGCGTGGTGGGCATTGGTGAGTTGGTGTGTGGGCAGGCAGGCGCAAACCAGCACAGCCGTCTGCACACGCTCACATGTGACCTTGGGCTAGTCCCTTCCCCTCCCAGAGCCTCAGTTTCCACCACATCTGTCAAACAGGGACCCCCAACCGCCCCTACTTTACGGAGCTGTTGAGGAAGGTGTGTACCGGGCTCAGCCCAGGCCTGGCACAGAAGATGCTCCCAGTGCCCACTGCCCAGTAACACTCATCTCCATGCCTTGCGAGAGTTGACATAGACAAGCCCTGAACTGGCTCTTGCTCCAGCTGAGATGCTAATTTGGGTAGGGGCCAAGATGGGAGGTGGTAGTGCCTGCAGGGCTGAGGACGTGTGGCATGCCGTCCCTCCACTTAAGGGCCTCATGGAGCACTTCTTGGAGAAGGTGATCCCTTAGGTCTTGCAGGAGGCACCGGATCTGTGGGAGCCCGGTTAGTGGGGGCCAGGGTGCATGAAGGCCTCAGGTGGCAGCCCCTGGAGGATCAGTCTGGGGATGTCACATCAAACGCAGGGTGTGGGGTGTGGAGAGTGACTGTGCAGAAGGGAGGGACAGGGGAGTGAACACAGGCCTCTGTCCTGTCAGGTGCAGTGGCCGCCACAGGCTTCCTGAGGCAGAGCGGCATCGGTCTGGATTCCCGAGGCTTCATCCCTGTCAACAAGGTGGGGTAGATGGCACTGGGTGGGGAGGGCCCGGTGCTGGGCTGGGAGTGGCAGGAGGTTCAGGTCAGAGCCCCTGTCGCACCCATGGAGTCCTGGGCCCTCTCTCTACAGATGATGCAGACCAATGTCCCAGGCGTGTTCGCAGCTGGTGACGCCGTCACCTTCCCCCTTGCCTGGAGGAACAACCGGAAAGTGAACATTCCACATTGGCAGATGGCTCATGCTCAGGGTATGGCCAGTCCCGAGGCACATGGAGGGGTGTGAGGGAGTCCCAGGGTCTCAGTGTCCCCATGCCCATGCCTCAGTTGCTGACCTTGGGTCTCGGACACTGTTAGGCATCAAAGCTCTGATGTGGATTCTCTGGCCAGCCTCAACCTGGCGATCCAGCCAACACAGAGAGCAACACCCCATTGAGCCAGCCACAGCTCCTCAATCTCAGTTTTCCTTCTGGTAGTCTCTCCCTTTTTTGTCCTCAAGGACCTATATTCTGCAGAATTCCTGACCAACCTGTGCAGTTACCCTGGGGAGGGAGGGAGGGATTTAGTGGATCACCTTCCTACTTTGTGCCTCTGTTTCCCTTGGGCCACTCAAGTATCTCTGTGAACTCAGTTCAGCCTCATGCAGGTCCCCGAGGTGCCATCTAAGCCCAGAGACCTGGGCTCAGTGGAGGCACTGTGCTTTCTGAGGAATAGCTTTCCCCTCCTGCTGTTTGCTGGCCACCAAGTCCCCCAAGCCTCATCCACTGTGCACATCTGGTCTGGGCCCCTAAGCTGCAGGTGCCATCACGTTAGTTGCCTCACTGCCTCAGAGAGAGGACTGCCAGACCCCCAGCCTGGGACAAGGGACCTCTCTGCACCCATTTCCCCTTCCCTCTGCCTTTACACCTGAGGGTCTGCTGCTTGAGACCCCACTCCTGGTACCAATTTCTATTCAAGTCCAAAGTCTAAAGTTGTTGCTAGGTTGTAAGTAACCAAGGCTACTGATCCGCCAAGTATAATTAGGATTTAACTGGGAGAGTTTAGGGGACTTTGAAGTACATCCAACTACAGAGGTCTACTGGGGCCTCATAGGAACTGGGGAGCCATCCACACTGGTCTCTTCGGAGCCCTGTGTGTGGCTGTCATCTGTGCTTCCCTGCGTACTTGTGGCCCATTTTCCTCCCTCTTCAGACCTGATATGTCTGATTAGGTGTCTGTGTGCACAGCCCAACCCCAAGAAGCAGACCTTCCAGAGGCAGGGCACTGTATTCAGATTCTCTCAGGAAGCAATCAAGTGGCGAGCTTGGAGTCAGGTGTTCCCCTGCAACAGTCAGCTGCAGGTGCAAGTGAGCAGTGGTATGAACAATGATGTCTCTTGACCTCTGGGGAGACCAGGAGGAGTAGCCACACGTGTCAGGGGTCCCAACGGCATCAGGAGCAGGCAGTGTGGGAGTGGTAAGGGCGAAAGTCAGGGTTCTCACGGCCCTGGGTCCTGCAGGGCGCGTGGCAGCCCAGAACATGTTGGCGCAGGAAGCGGAGATGAACACCGTGCCCTACCTCTGGACCGCCATGTTTGGCAAGAGCCTGCGCTACGCGGGTAACCCCGGGGCCTCGAATGGGGGCGGGGCCAAGGGCGTTTAGGGGCGGGGCGGAGAGCCTACGGGCAGGGCTGTGACTGCACTAGGAAGAGGCCGGTAAGAACTCGCTGGCGGCGAGGCTAGGAACTACCTGAAAGGACGTATGGAGCAGGGCCTGGGCGGGGTTAGGAGGGGATCCTGTGAGTATCGTTCCCTCCTCCGGCTCACGTGGGTGCCACCCACCTGCCCGGCCCACAGGCTACGGAGAAGGCTTCGACGACGTCATCATCCAGGGGGATCTGGAGGAGCTGAAGTTTGTGGCTTTTTACACTAAGTGAGAGCACCGGGGTGGAGCTTGGCGCGAAGCAGCGGGAGCTCAGTCGGGAAGGGGGATTCATCCCAGGCAAAATCCCAGAACAAGAGCCCAGCCCTGAGCCCCGCTGAGGAGTGCTGGAGCTTCCTTAGGAAAGCCTGAAGCTTGTGCACGGTCAAGCCCCGATGTGCAAAGCAGGGAGGGCTGGGTGCTCAGGACATTCCTGTTCCCCTGGGGTAGGTCCTTCCCTGGGCCCCAGAATGACAGCAGTGCATCAGGATCTTCAAAAAGGGGCTGCTGCCTGGCAGTCCTCAGGCTTGGCCATCCTCTCCCTGCAGAGGCGACGAGGTGATCGCCGTGGCCAGCATGAACTACGATCCCATTGTGTCCAAGGTCGCTGAGGTTCTGGCCTCAGGCCGTGCCATCCGGAAGCGGGAGGTGGAGTGAGTGTGGGTGTGGGAAGCCTGGGGGCGGGAGTAGTTCCCTGGAGGACTGGCTAAGGTGCCCATGACAGCCAGCCGCCCCCACAACCCTCCAGGGCCTTGCCCCTCACTCTTGGTTTGCGTCACCGGAGGGTTCCAGGACTACAGGGAGGTGTGGGGCAAGGATCATGGTTTGGGAGCAGGCTGGTTATGTGTTCATGGTGGATGGAAGGAATAGGGATGTGTGTCCCCAGGCAAGGCCAGTGCTGTGGGGAGGGGTCAGGGCCCAATGCATGGGCAATCACCAGGCCTGGGACACCTAACTGGACATGGTTGTGCTGAGCCCGGCAGAAGCTTGTGGGAAATGCAGCTACTGATGCCTTGGGTATGCCCTCCACAGAGATGGTGGGGGTGGTTCTAGGTTTCACTCAACACCAGCCAGTTCCCTTATCCTGGTGTGGTGTCAATGAGATTCACCCTCTGGGAGAAAGCTCCCAGGGACTAAGGACAGCCTGGAGGCCACTGGGGGGCTATGAGACAGGGGCAGGCTCCAGGCTGGAAACAATGGAGGACCAGAAGGGGACATGATAAATGACATGCTCTCTCCTTGGCCTTCTCTCTGTTTCTCTCTTGCCTTCGTGAAGGCTGTTTGTGCTGCACAGCAAGTACGTGTGTCCTTCATGTTGACTGTTCTGAGCCTTTCCCATGTCAGCCCAGACCCTCCACCCAATGGTCTATCTCCATCTGTCCAAGTACACCTCCCCGCTGGGCACTAGGGTCTGGCACAGAACAGACCCCCTGCTGTCCTCAAGGGCCAGCTGTTCAGGGTGCCCAGAGTGGAGAGCCTGTTTTCTTCTGTCCTGATCCCTCCTCCCCTCATTCCTGCAGGACTGGCGACATGTCTTGGCTTACAGGGAAAGGATCCTGAGCTCACATGCAGTAGACTTGGGCAGGCAAAGGGGGGCACCAGGGGCAGAGGCCAAGCCTTGGGGGCAGGTGCCAATCTCCAGTCCCAGGATCCCCCAGGGCAGAACCTGAGCCTTCCCAGTGCTTGCCTTCAGCCACCTGGCTCCCCTCCTGGGAGGCCTCTGCTGGATCCAGAAGATGCTCAACCCTCAAGGCCTCTACTGCCACTTGACAGCTGGCACTGGAGGCAGGACAGGCCCTGCCTCTTCTCCCTCTATTGGGACTGGTCCCCTGAAGAACCCTGCAACATGTAGACATTGCCGTAAAATTAAAACGCACAAACTTGCAGACCTGTATGACTCCCAGTGTAATTGGGCCGATAGGCACAGGGCCAGACCACAGGGAAACAGGCACAATCACAGCATGCTAGGTGCCACACCAAGGAAATTTGGCCTGTGAACTCCCAAAGGAGGTAGCAACTAATTCTGCGCCCCACGCCCTCCCACATCCCTCTCCCTCTCTGCGATCAGCGAACGCTTTTTGCTTTTGGCTCTGAATTTCGAAGGAAGGGTATTCCAGGTAGAAGGGACAAGCCCAAAGGTCTTAAGATAGTAAATGCTCCTTCAGAGGTGGCTCATGCTTGACACTTTGGGGCATTTGCCCACTTAGGGTTGTGGTAGTTGTGTCCTGAGACAGACCCCATGCTTTTCATAGCTGGAGCATTCTCAATACCAGTGTCGGAGGTGACGCAGCTGAGGCCCTGCTAAGTAGAAATGAGAATCCAGAGGCTCATCGCCGGGCTGTCTCTCAGTCAGTAAGAACACCAAGGAGAGAGGGGAGATGCAGGGAGTCAGGGCTGGGGGCGCTAGCGGGAAAGGGAGCGTTGAGCGCCTGCAGAGGCCGCTGCGAGCCCGGAACCCTCCTTGGGGAGTCCCGGCAGCGGCAGACGATCCAGGCCGGAGCCATGCGCAGACACAAGGCATGCTGGGAACTGCGAGCCAGCCGCGGGTCTTCGGGCTTCGTGGGCCTGGGAGGCGCCGGGAAAAGCAGTCGCGACGGGGTTAGGGACGAGACACCGCATTCACTGGAAGGGACAACCCGGCGCCAGTACATAGCCTGAAACGCTCCCCAGAGAGTCCCACGCTTGCTGCGCCGTCCCCAACTGGATCCAGCACTCGCCCGCCCGCGGTGTCTTGGCAAGCGCTAGGCTTGTCGGGAAGAGCGGAAGGGCGCAAGCGCGGCGCTGGCCGGAAGTGCCGAGCTGTCAGTGCAGGGCTCGCCGGGAAATGTGGTTCCTCCAGGCGGCCCGGGGCGGTGGCCGCAAGTTCTGCGGACAGCGCGGCCGATCAGGCGTGGACCCGGGATGGCTGGACCGGGCAGCACCGGGGGCCAGATTGGGCCCGGGGCCCTGGCAGGCGGCGCGCGGTCCAAGGTAGCCCCGAGCGTGGACTTCGATCACAGCTGCTCGGACAGTGTCGAGTACCTGACGCTCAACTTCGGGCCCTTCGAAACAGTGCATCGCTGGCGGCGCCTCCCGCCCTGCGACGAGTTCGTGGGTGCCCGGTACGGTGGGCTTCATGGGGTCCTGAGGACAGGAAGGGCGATCTGCGAGAGTCCCAGGGCGGGGTCCAGGGGCGAGGCCGGTGCGTGGTGTCCTGGGGTAGGATCTGGTAATGAGGTGGATGGTGCTGTACAGGACGCTGTTCAGGGCAGGGGAGAGAGGGTTCCGAGGGAGTCCCAGAGCCCGATGACCTGGGACAGAATACTAGAACTAAGTTGTGTTTGTGGATATTGAGCTGGGGTCCCAGGTGCTCTGAGGTGGGGTGAGGAGTCCAGAAATTCCTGGAGCCGTGTCAGGGGTCCTCACTTGCAGGGTGATTGGTGTTATCTTAGAAGATGATCGATCCTAGCAGTTGAGAGGTGATATCTAACTTCTGTGGCAGCTCTCCTGCTTAGTCCCATTCCTTAGGTGCCCCCCAGGAGGGTCCTGTCCTTACCGCCCTCCACTCCTTTCTTTCCAGGCGCAGCAAGCACACAGTGGTGGCCTATAAAGATGCCATTTATGTATTTGGTGGAGACAATGGGTGAGTGAGTCTGAGCATCAGTGTTTGGACCAGGTAGGGAGAAGTACTGTGGTCAGGGACTGGGCCTGCCCAGCTCCATTACTGTCCTTTCAGATGTTAGCTAGTGCCTCTAAGCTTCAGTTTCCCCATCTGTGAGATTCCTTGCACTCACCTCCCTGGTCGTGGTGAGGATTAAATGAGATCCTGCACTCATGATCCTCAGCACAGCTTCCAGTGGGTGGCACTTGCTCAGTATGTGGAACTGTCCCTCTTCTGAAGTAGACGCCAGCCTTGAAAGAACCACAACCACTCTTGCGGCCAGCCTGCCAGCCACTTTTCCTTTCCCTGGGCCTCATCCGGTATGGAGGACACAGTTTTATTTATTTCATGCATTTTTCACCTTTGTGGAGGGTTTTTCCCCCACATTGCTGCGACGCATTCAGTGCAACAACATGACATGTTTATGTTTGGTGGGCCACTCGTTTCCAGCATAAATGTCTCCCATTAATTGTGGCTGTTTCCTTATGCAGAGGGTGGAGTATATTGCACATGACCAGTTGTCCTACATTCCCTGCCTCTCAGCCCCAGGACCCTGGCATGAAGCCCTGGAAGAAGCTGGCTCTTTTTTTTTTTTTTTTTTTGAGACGGAGTCTGGCTCTGTCCCCAGCTGGAGTGGCCGTGGCCGGATCTCAGCTCACTGCAAGCTCCGCCTCCCAGGTTCACGCCATTCCTCCTGCCCTCCACCTCCCGAGTAGCTGGGAAATACAGGCGCAAGCCACCTGCCTGGCTAGTTTTTTTGTATTTTTTTTAGTAGAGACGGGGTTTCACCCGTGTAGCCAGGATGGTCTCGATCTCCTGACCTCGTGATCCACCCGTCTCGGCCTCCCAAAGTGCTGGGATTACAGGCTTGAGCCACCGTGCCCCGCCAGATATAGAGCTGGCTTCTTATTGGCTCTGCAGCCTTGGTCCTGCAGGCCTCCCTGGGGGGCTGGCTTGAGGATGGTGGGGTAGTCTGAACCCCACCAGGATCCGCAGACTGGGCAAAAGAGCCTCCTTGGGCATGGTCCCCTGGCTTCAAGCCTGCCTTCCTCCCACTCTCTTTCCCCAGGAGTAGCCAGTGGGGCCCATTTACATATGCAAGTCAGAGTGTGTTCCTCCTTGGCTCATCCTCCTGTGATGCCTCCCTGCCTCTCTGAGTAAAAGCCCAAGTCTTCATGAGAGTCTGCTGCTCCTCTGCCCTCAGTCTCTCACTGCGCTGGGGCTGTACTGGCTGCCTTGCCATGTTTGGATTGTACCAAGTGCCCCCTTGCTCAGGCCCTTGCACTGCCCATTCTCTCCTCCTACCTTCCTGCCCCTCCTCTGATGCTTCTTGTGACTGAGGCCTTCCTTGGTCATCTGGACCAACTGGAGACCATTACTTCCCCTCCATCCCTCTTACCATCTTCATTTGTTCCTGAGGCACACAGATGTTGGTTATTATCCATGTGTTCAGTCAAGGCAGGGCCTGTGCTCCTTTTACCATTGTAAAAGAAAACTCAATAAATGTTTGGCAAATGAAGGAATGAAATAAAGAAGAGATGCCTACCCACAGGCGTTTACTGGAGCCTTAATGAGAACCCTCCAAACCAGAAAAGGCTTTGGTGTCCAGTACGAGGCAGCAGGTGGGAAATGGGGGACCTTCATCCTCAAGAGTGTCCGTAACGGGTAGTTTGTGTGACAACTGTGTAGCAATAAGCAGAAACATTTTTGCTGCAGTGTGACAAAGAAATAGGATACAAATTTGTCTCATTCTAGACTTAACTTTATAAAGACTGAGTACAAAGAAAGATGGCCTCCTGCAGCACGTGGGGCAAGTGAGGGAGGGAGGGGCGATATCACAGTCACCACCAGCTTCTAGGCTCCTGGCTTCCTGGCTGCATGGCCTCAGACACAGCCTTTGAACCACTAGGTATCTCACATCCATTTCACAGATGCACCCGCTGGTGCAGACTAAGACGGTGCAGGAGGCACCCAGCACAGGCTGGGTGTGAGGGGTGCTGGGCTCCTGTCAGTTTGCCCTTCTTCCCAAGGGCTGGGTAGTAATATGCCAGCTGGTTGTATTAGGTGGTCCAATGACCAGTGAATTTGTTTTCTATTTAATTGTATCTTTAACATGATTATGACATTGGCTTTTGCAATAAAGAAATGGCAGGGGCCAGGTGCGGTAGCTCACACCTGTAATCCCAGCACTTTGGGAGGCTGAGGTAGGAAGATCGCTTGAGGCCAGGCATTCAAGACGAGCCTACGCAGGAAAGCAACACTTCGTTTCTATTTTTTTTTTTTTTTTTTTGAGACGGAGTCTTGCTCTATTGCCCAGGCTGGAGTGCAGTGGCGCCATCTTGGCTCACTGCAAGCTCCGACTCCCGGGTTCAAGCGAGTCTGCCTCAGCCTCCCCAGTAGCTGGGATTACAGGCGCCCGCCACCACGCCAGGCTAATTTTTTTTTTAGTAGAGACGGCGTGTCAGGGGTCCTCACTTGCAGGGTGATTGGTGTTATCTTAGAAGATGATCGATCCTAGCAGTTGAGAGGTGATATCTAACTTCTGTGGCAGC